CAGTTGTATAAAATCTTTGAGTGTATTTAATTTAAAATAATTTAATCTGGATTTAAATTTAGCTCCTTTAACATTAATTTAATCTACAATAATAATCAGTTTCTGCAATTTAACACTTGATTTTATTCCCTCAATTAACATTGATTTGTTTCCTATATATGAATGCTTGTTTGAGCTCTTTTGTGTATACCTATGTATACGTACAGGTTCCCCTGGACCCCGTGGTCCACAAGGCCATCCAGGTCTTCCAGGTTTTCCCGGTGATGAAGGAAGTGTGGGACTACCAGGCCCCCCTGGCCGATATGGGCCCCCAGGTACAAACATAATTGTCTCAATCCAAGAGTTTAGATGTGTTCATATTGTTTAATAATGAAGTAAAACATTAAAAGGGTTATGAACATTATGAACAGATTTGCTTTCTTTCTTCATTTATTTGTTTGATCATATAGCATAATATATCATATAATAATTAATTATATGTAATAATAGAATACAAGATGGAAAAAAAACTGAAACAAGAAGCATGATTTTGCAATCATAGGACCAAACAAGACAGTTTACACATCATCACACTGTGCTTGTTATGTTAGGGCCCCCTGGACCACCAGGTCTAGATGGACTGTATGGGCTTACAGGTCCAAAAGGGATGAAGGGGGCAAGTGGTAAGAGAGCATTATATAATATTATTCCTTTTCTATGTCTTTTAGGACTGTAGGAATTTTGTCGCCGTTGGGTGCCAGTCGTATAGCACATTATTTATTGTTACAATTAGTAATAATATGTGTAGTTGCTAATTTTTAGATTGTTTTTCTTGATACACAATCAAATGTGAGCACATTACAATGTGATGCTATGTTTTATATGTACTCACTTATAATACAGGCATAGATATCCCTGGCCCTCGAGGACCAGATGGTTTTCCAGGAGTCAAAGGGGCCAGGGGCTACCAAGGACCTCCAGGAACTACTATTCCTGGGACTAAAGGCCAAAGGGGCCCACCAGGGAATCCAGGTATCATGACTTTTATTTGTAACAGTTCTGTCTGCACTAGATACAATTTTGTGTCAGGTTGTGCCAGAAAGAGCATCTGGCACAAAAACTGTCAAATCAAACATGCAGAGCGACTATGCTACTATGGTGACCCCTATTGAATAAGGGAGCAACTGAAAGTAACTTTTTATGTTGCTAAGGGTAGATTGTTTTTTCTTTTAGGCCTCCCAGGACTCCCAGGTGAACCTGGTTACCTTGGTATAACCTGCCAAACACCTTTGCAGGGACCTGCTGGAGGTCAAGGATTTGAAGGACCTACAGGACCCCCAGGTATGTGTGTATGCTGGGTCATATTTAATTTACTTTTCTCTACTTTATTTCATTCTTATTAAACCCCCTCCTGGGGTAAAAGGGAAAATATACAATGAACAAACAAAGCAGAGGGTTATTCAATACACATCATCACTATCACAAAAGGAGAAATAAGTAAATGCAACTGTCAACAAATGACCCTTTTGAATTGGATGGTGCTTTGTGTCTATGTAACTGTGTGTATGTTTGCCACTAAATATATTTATACATATTTCAAATTTTTTATTTTTTTAGGTCCTCCTGGAGAACCTGGGATACCAGGCTCCAGCCTTTTGTTCAAAGGAGACCCAGGACCAACTGGCCCCCACGGCTTACCAGGTGTTCGAGGAAGAAGGGGCCTACCAGGACCACCTGGACTTTCTATCCACCAAGGCCCTAGAGGACCTAAAGGTACAAACAAAACAATGGTAAATAGACATCATCAGTAACTTACAGTGCAGCTATCCAACTGATTATACTCCAAATGTTACCACACTTTGACAGGTGAGCAAGGTCCTGTTGGTCTAATGGGCCTACCTGGACCCAAAGGTCAGCTAGGTGCCCCTGGGCCCCAGGGCCCCAGCGGAGAAATTGGCCACCCTGGAAATAAGGGTAAGTTGTACTGTAGACAAGAAACTAAAATATGCAAGACTTCACAGTTCAAAGCAAAATAAATTGATTTTTTTAAAAAGTTGTAATTGTTCCTATAGTAGATGTACTAATCTTTTTTTTCTTCTAGGTGTCAAAGGTGCTCTCGGTGACTCTGTCAGTATATTAACAGCTACTGCTCCCCCTGGACCTCCAGGTCCTCCTGGTAGCCCGGGATGTGTAGGATTCCAAGGTGTCATGGGTTCCCCTGGTATTCCAGGTCGTAAAGGTAAACCTAATCTTTGGACAGTTATAAGTGTATATTTCGTTTCTGTCTGTCCAACTTGAGTATTGTACATGTCTTCATCCACTCTTTATTTCTTTATATTTTACAAGGAAATATGAAATAGGTGTGAAAATACAGTCCAAGAGGAAAAACCATAGTTTGATTTGTCTTAGGTAAACTTCTTATTTCTTCAAATTAGATTTCTAATTTCTAATTCTAATTTCTAATTCCTTGAAATCTTCAGGAATAGTTTTCCAGGCTTCTTAAAGGACAGTCAAAGGTCTTATTTTGTTCTTTTTTTTTGTTCTCTGTCAAGATTATATTGAGGTCCAGGCTCTGAGGAGTCCAGTCCATGACTGATAGTGTTCAATTATGTGTTTTTATAAGCAGGTATGCCTATACAACAGATGCTTTTCAGAGGGTATTGTAAAACTCTGATGGTGCTTCTCTGTGTTCATAGTTCCGTTTATGCAGCCCCAAACCACGAGAGAGCCTGTTTCAGGGCCTCTGTCAGGTCTTTACTGTATTTTTTTAAATTTCTTAAGGATATGAGTTGTATAAAGCGCTTTGAGTGCTCGGATAGATTAGAAAAGCGCTGTATAAGAACCAGTCCATTTACCATTACTTTCAAATACTCTTCATCTGATGTAGTGTTTTTAGCCCTGCCAGTTCCTCCTTTGTCCTCTACTTTTCTACTTACCTCAAAATTTTTTAAGGCATACTGCACATCATGTTGAGATATGACAGTTTTTGGCTACAAGTTCTTTGGGAATCACCTTGTTGGTGTTAAAATATATCCCCAGTTAAACTGTGTTATCTTTGGCATTTTTCATAGATTCAGATAATGAAATTGTAACAAATAGCATGATTTTGTAACAGGTTGCTAGTAACATAGTGTTTTAAAATTACAATTGAAATTTGGGTCTTTGGTTCTAAGTTGTCTGCTATGTGTTGACAAGTCTGCTATGTGTTTGAAGCATTTTTATGCTGTAGTGTTTTATAGGTCAGTGTAAAGCGGCTTAACAGCCAAACAAAAAAAATCCATACTCCTGTATACATGGCTGTATTTACTCATTTGCTTTTATCTGCATGTTTCAGGGGAGAAGGGTCCGGTGGGGTCTGTGGGCCTTCCTGGTATAACAGGTCCTCCTGGTCGTAATGGTCCAGCTGGAGATCCAGGAGATGTTGGTTTGCCTGGATTTCCTGGACCTCAAGGTAAATATTCATATTTTCTAGATAGCTCACTAAATTAGTGTGGAAATTTCCAGATAAAATTTGGAAATTCGCTCTGGTGTACTAATATGAATAATATAGCTCTGATATGCTTTTTTTTTTTATCCTCACTTTGATGCTTTCTTCACCTAATACACACGCTCTTTGTTCAACCACAACAACTTCAAGGTATCCCAGGTCCTCCTGGTGACCAGGGTCAGCCAAGCTACAGGAGGATATTGAATGCTGGATTTCTGTTAGTTATACATAGTCAATCAGTTGAGGTCCCACAGTGCCCAGCAGATACCACTCAGCTTTGGGTGGGACACAGTCTCATTTACCTGGAGGCACAAGAAAAGGCTCACACACAAGATCTGGGTAAGCATCCGCATAAAATGGTCATTTTGCTGATTTCTTGAAATGTATTCATCCCTGGTATATAGAAATTTGAAGAAAAATTTAAAAACCCTTCCTTGTCTATATTTTATAACATCTATTTTTGTTTTTTTCAATCTGTTTTCCTTGCAGGCCAGCCTGGCTCCTGCCTCCCTGTTTTCTCCACCATGCCGTTCTCCTATTGTAACCAAGCTGCCTGTTCTTATTCTAGTCGCAATGACAAATCCTATTGGCTCTCCACAACTGCTCCCATACCCATGATGCCGCTATTTGGCCAGGATATTGTGTCCCATATCAGCCGTTGTGTGGTGTGTGAGACCATTTCACCTGTGGTGACTTTTCACAGCCAGAATCATACATTCCCTTCATGCCCACCTGGATGGAGGAGTTTGTGGGTGGGATACTCTTTCCTCTTGGTAAGTACATTAAAAAAATGTTAAAGTGTTTCAAAGGAAAACTTCTGTTAACTCCCCTCACTGTGTACCTGCTGGCTTGCTGTCTTTAGCACACAGGATCAGGAAATAATGGTGGTGGCCAGTCACTGGCTTCTACTGGTAGCTGCCTTAAGGATTTCCGAACTCATCCCTTCATTGAGTGCCAAGGGGCACGGGGTTCCTGTCACTACTTTGCCAATCTCTATAGTTATTGGCTGACTACTGTAAGCCCAGCAGAGCAGTTCATAACCGCAAGTCCTGGCACCATCAAAGCAAGCGACCAACAGCGACACAGGACCAGCCAGTGTAATGTCTGCCACAGAGAAGGATAAGCATTGTGGCATTTTACCTAAGATTATGATTTTTTTTTTTACCCAATTACCCAAACCTTACTCATACCACTCAGGGTTAAAGATGAATTTGATTATGTTCGTTGACAATAAAAATGTGTTAAAATAAATGTTTTGCACACCTCAACATTTAACATTATTTTCACTTAGGTACCATTTATAGTTCTAAAAAAGCTCCTTATGTTCTATAATTGTGCTATAATCTGTCAGACTAGCACTGTAATCCTCTCTGAAATGACCTTTTCTTGTGTTTATTATTATTTTATTGTGTTTAAGTTGTTTTTCATTTTGTCATTTTAAAATAAGACTTTAATTTGACACGTCATGTAAAAAACTAAATAAATAAATACAATTTTAAGAAAAAGAAGCATTTTGACAGGATGCACATTTTCCATAGCAGGTTTCAAGTCCATATTTATTTATTTCTCTCAACAGAACCCAAGTGACAATCAGAATACAGTACTTTATTCCTCAAACATGTTTATTCCTTTTTTTTTTTTATTACGCAAAACAAGAGAACACTCAGTGCAATAAGACAGAGGACTGACGGTGCGGTGCTCTCTCTACCTTTTCACAGTGCACGTTTATACACACAAAAAGATTGTACATCATCATCATTGTTACATTTCCAACCTTCACCCACCAACATCATGAGGGCAAAGTGAATGTCTTAAGACAATCATTTTTTTAAACTAGCAACTTGCATACAGTGTAGCCAGGCACACACACTCATAAACACACACACACGCACACACACGCGCACAGCTCTCTCCCTCACACGCATACTGGTACCAACAAAGGTTTCTGATTCGTTGATTCTCATAGAGAGGGGGTACTGCACTTGCACTTTAGGGGCTGTTGTTAAACCCATACTATTTTGGCAATGTTGACATTGCCTTTTAATGTGCAAAAGAGAACCAACTGAATTCATGCAAATAAGAGGTTGAGGTAGAGGGAGAGAGCAGGGGGAGATGAATGTGTATGTAACCAGCCTGATTTAATGTGAAGGAAGATGAGAGTTAGTGCAGTTCACTTATTTTTTTGTAGCCTGACAGAATTGCAGGCCCTTGTGCAACCCCTCCCCGTCATTTTTGACAGCTTAAAGCTGTTGTCATGTGATAGGTCCTTCAATAATTTGATCTCTAAAATGGTTGCCAGCCATTGAATTGGATTGGAAACATTGTCAGAGACACCCAAATATAGATGAGTGTATGTCACACACCCAGCCATTCTCCTGAGGCTTTACCTTTCAGCCAATAAATGAAAACTTACATGGCACAACTCACTATTCCTTACAATTTCAAAAAATATATATAAGCATAAACTTGAAAGTTACTTCTTAAGCAAGTGCATATGGCTATTATAATCTGCAGTGAAATTAAGAAATCTAAAAGCTCAGGTGTTGATTGTACGGGCTGGTCGTTGGCGTCAAGTATTTACACTGTCACGGTGCTTTGCAGTGTGCATGGCAATGTAAAGATGCTGGTACTCGCCAGCTATTGCCACTAATCCCATTTTAAATAACCAAGCATCCAAAGTGCAACCACACCCATATCTCGCTTTTACAGGCTTTGGCTGGTCTTGGAAAATGATCCTGTTTATAATGTATGTTCTAATTTGCTACCTCCCCACCCCGCCCTCATAGTGTATTTTAGAATACAGCAAAAAACATTACACACTATCTCTGTCCTCTACAAATGCCAACAGGCTTTCCTGCGAAACAGCTTTAAAAGGCTTTGACGTAGTGACCACACAGTTTCTCACTGTTAAATACAAACTGAAGCACAAGTAGTTTCCTGTTTCTGTTCTAGGACCAGCTGTTGTACATTCTAGAACATCCTGGACCAGGCATGGAGAGACCTGGAATCTAAAGCACGGCGACGTAAACTCCTCAACTTACAATACAACAGTGAAAATGTAAAGTATATATAGACAGAATTAAATAGTCCATTCATTTTAGTGCTTTTAAGCACAAACAAAAAAAAAGCGCTTGGCATAAGAAAATTATGCAACTACAGTACAAGTATCGATAGATTATGTTTTGAAATGTAAAATAACCTGAACAAAAATAACATAAAAACAAATTTTAGATTGCATCTACATCTACTATACATCATTTAAGTTTCCTTTTGATCCCCATCATCTCATTTAGAAAATATCTATTCATCATCAAATATCTACTCTACTAATTACATTACAGGAGTCCAGTCACAGGAAATAGAAAAATATCAAATATCACCAGTGATGATAAGAAACATGACAACCTGAACAAGCAGAAATATTGCTGTGGTAACCACCATTGTCCTTTGACATCAGTGAGCATCATCCCTCTTGTCCTCTCAGCGGCCACCCTGAAGCCTGTGATGTTTTAGGGAGGAGAGGGAGTGGTTAACTGTGGGTTATGTGTTTGAAATGCCTTGTAAATGTCAGATGGCGGTATCCCAGAATACCGTTGTCTGGGTGGGGTATGGAGGAGGACGGATCTTCTTGGTCCCGCCGTTTTTTCCCCAGCTTGGAAGGACAGATGTATTTTCCTGTTTGCACTGACTTCTTTCCTGGTGCCTGTCCTCATTCCTGTCTGGCAGAGGAGGAGGAGGCCTCTCCAGAGATCTCTGCAAGTGCGGATGCTGTCTGGAACGGATTTCCATGCATAGGGTGCGTTTCCTCTCGATTTGCTCTAGCATAGTGGTGTCTCCACATATCCATGGCATCTGGGGCATCTGAGCAACACATTTAACATACCACGTGAAATAAATACAAATGAACTCTTTCTAGAATTTCTTTTTGATGTCATTCACAATTGACTAAGTGATCATATAACACAAAAAATGAATTCAGGGGCGGATGGGTGTGGTTTTTGATTTGATTTGGTGTAACCCAGCGTCTCACCAGTACTGATCATTTTTAATGGAGAGAATGGTAAATCCATTTATGTGTTCCCGGCTTTAGGTAATAAAAGAAAAAAAAAATAGAAAAATGATTTTGACAAAAATCATGTTCACCAAATTGCTGTGCTAGGAGCACCCTTACTCATGAACTTCACCCTACACTATGACTTAATAAATCAGTTTAAAAAAAATACAATTGATATATCTGGCAGAAGATGAAGAGTTAAACACAATGTAGATCTCTCTGAAAGTTCTGAAACCTGCTGTGGATTTCTCTTCACTGTCTTTGCAAACAATTTACTTTTTTTTTTTTTTTAATAAATCTTCAGTTGTAACCACTATGTTTTAATAAACTGAAGATTTTTCACATTACTAATGAAAAATGCCTAATTAATCAGTGTTATTAATTAGTGTTTTGTTAAATAGTTAACTAGTCAATCAATTGAATAGTCAGTTAATTTAAATTGTTGAGATAAAAGAGTTAGATTTCGAATCCCCACACCAGTTTGACCAACTAGAACAAAATATCTTTAAACAGTCCAAACTGTTCCATAACAGACTAAGAAATAAGTTTTCAGGACCTATAAGAAACTGACACTTCAGGTAAAGAGACAGACAAGACAAAACAAAACAAAAGAAAGAACAAACCAGATATGCATACCTGACTTTGATGTGTCTCTGTTGCCCTCCTTTGTGGAGTTCCCACTGGGGAAGGATTAGCAGGTTTAGACGGTGAGCGGGCATACTTAGATGCTGCTTTCAGATCTACAAAGGAATAAAAAAAATCACATTTAGTAGTATGCCATTTGAATAGTTATATGCATTGTCTAATGCCGCCTTAAAATTTAGGTTCTAACACTCACCATTTCCTGTTCCCATGGTCATCGGAGGGCTACCTGATGACCTTCCGTGATGAGTGGGTGTTGTTGTTGATGAATGCTGTCCTGATATTGTGCTGCCATTCCTCTCTTGTGCTTTTGACTGGTCTGTGTTGTAATTTGCTCTGTTATCTCGTCGGGGGGTGCCATCTGATCTGTATCCTCGCTCCTTATTATCACACCTGTATTCCACTGATGAAGGGCTCTTGGTGCTCTTGATGTCAAAATGATGATGCTCTGAGCCATTCAAACTTCTGTCTTTGCTGTCCCGCCTCACTTCAAGGCCAGTTCTGCTCAGATCTTTGCTGTCCTGCCTGGATAAAGGAGGAGGAGGAAGATCTCCACTATTGTGGCAGCTTCGATCTCTCCCCTCATACCTGGATTCGGAGTTGGAACCAACTCTGTCCCTGCTGTTGCTGCTTCTGGATGCTTCTTGTCGGGGAAGGATCTCTGGTGGCTGATCTATTCTACCTTCATATTTGTGCTCCGTGTCATTCCTTTCTCTCTCTTTGCTCTCCTGTTGGGGTAACAAATCGGGACGATGGTCTTTGCTATCATGCCTGTATTCTGGTCCGGTTCTAACCCTGTCTTTGCTCTCTTGTCGGGAAAGAAGCTCAGGGGGCCTATCTCTGCTTTCGTGCTTTGAGTCCACACCATTTCTGGCTCGCTCTTTGCTATCCTGTCGGGGTAAGAGTTCAGGTGGCTGATCCAGTCTCTCTCTGCTTTCATGTCTGTAGTCTACAGGATTTCTTGCCCTTTCCTTGCTGTCTTGCCTTGGCAACAGCTCAGGTGGCTGATCAAGCAGTCTGTCTCTGTCTTTGCTCTCCTGTCTCAGCAAAGACTCCATTCCATGTCCCCCACTTCGATCTTTACTGTCTCTCCTTGGTAATAGGTCACCATTGCTAATCCCTCTGTCCTTGGAGTCTTTTCTTATCAAAGGGATTGTTTCTATGGAGCTGCTGCCCCTATCTTTGGAGTCCCGCCTCACAGGGATGGGCTCTGCATTGCTGCAGGCCTGGTCCCTGCTATCCCTGCGAACCAGCTGTGCATCTACATTGCTACAAGTACGGTCTTTACTATTTCGTCTGTGGGGCAGAGGCTCTGCATTGCTGCTTCCTCTCTCTTTGTCTTTTTCTCTGTCTTTGTCTCTGTCTTTTCTATGTGAAGACTCTTTACTGTGACGCTCCTTGGATTCACGCTTGGACTCCTTGCTGTGACTGTGACGTTCCTTGCCTTCTCGCTTTGACTCACTGTGAGACTTACTTTTGGACTCAGCTGCCAAAGAAAGGGGGGGTAAAAATAAAAAAACACATAATTAGGCAAATCAATAGACATTCAGTTTTTGATGTACCTATCAAAATAAACTGGATAAAAAAACACACAAAATAAATAAATAAATAATTAAACAGTGGGACAAACTGTGATTATCATCAGAATCCGACTTGTTACTGCAATGCAAACAATTATCCACTAGGTGTCCCTTACTACCCATTTAAGAAGCTGTGGTAGGAGTTGTAAACCTCTGGAGTTGAAACAAAATGATTGAATGCCATATACATATACAGTGGTGTGAAAATTGTTTGCCACCTTCCTGATTTCCTATTATTTTAACATTTGTCACACTTAAACGTTTCAGATCACCAAACAAATTTAAATATTAGACAAAGATAACACAAGCAAAGTTTTTAAATGAAGATGTTTATTATTTAGGGGGGGAAATCCAAACCTACATGCCCCTGCTTGATAAAAAAAGATTGCCCCTCCCTGTTATAAGATAAATTAACTGTTGTGCATCACATCTTTGGAAAGATGAGCTCAATTTCTCTAGCCAGTTTCTCTAGGCCTGATTACTACTGTGCCTGTTCTCAATCAAGAAATCGCTTGCATAAAACCTGCCTGACAAAGTGGAGTAGACCAAAACATCCTCAAAAGTCAGACATCATGCTGCGGTCCAAGGAAATTCAGGAACAAATAAAAGACAATGTAACTGACTTGCTTAACTTGCTTCAGTTAGGGTCAGTGTTCATGAATCCACCATAAGGAAGAGACTGGGTAAAAATGCCCTGCATGGCAGAGTTCTATGTCAAAAGCAACTGCTGAGCAAAAGGAACATAAAGGCTGCTTTCAGTTTTGCCAAAAAACATCTTAATGAACCCCAAGTCTTTTGGGAAAATACTCTGTGGATCCACAAAACAAAAGTTGAACTTTTTGCAAGGTGTATATCTTATTACATCTGGCAGATAGCCTGTCCACTTATGAATGGCTTCAGAAAAAAAAAATGAAAACTTTGGAGTGGCCTAGTCAAAGTCCTGAAACCTGAATCCAATTGAGATGCTGTGGCATGACCCCAAAAAGGTGGTTCATGCTCCCAAACCCTCCAGTGTGGCTGAATTATAACAATTCTGGAAAAATGAGTGGGCTAAAATTCCTCTGCAGCGCTTTAAAAGACTCATTGCCAGTTATCACAAATACTTGATTGTAAGTTTAGGGGAAAATCACTTTTTCAAGCAGGGCCATGTAGGTTTTTGACCTCTTAAAAATAAATAACTTCATTTAGAAACTTCATTTTATCATTTTTTTTTGATGATCTTAAACATTTAAAAAACTTTATCCCACCACCGTATGGAGATATCTATCTATCTATCTATCTATCTATCTATCTATCTATCTATCTATCTATAGATAGATAGATAGATAGATAGATAGATAGATCCCTATAGATAGATAGATAGATAGATAGATATACATATGCATCACTGGCCTGAGCCTGTCTCTGGATGGTTTCCATACAAGCTTTAACCTACATTGTGGAAGCATCCCCTGTCATGCCTGCATGCGTCATATGTGTAGTTTTATGCTGATGTGTGTATGGGGGGGGAGTAAAAGAGAGCAAGTGTGGTGATTAACCAGTTGGTAAGTGGGTCAGGGTAGCTGTTGCTGCCCCTGTTGCCTTAGAAAGGGAAAGAACAAAATGATCATCCATTCCTTCATAACCTTCATGTTCACAACACACAACATATGTGACATTTGCACCAACTAAACCAAAAATCTCACTGATGAGAAATTAAAGGGTAATCCTCGCACCTAAATGCAGTCTCTAACTAAAAGCACATTATTCAGCAGCTAATAATGACAATCTCTGGAAAAAGCAAAAAATGTATACCAGTTTGGTACATGCATGAACATGTATATCTCATTACAGTCAAAATGGCAAGAAATCATAAATTCTTTCAGCGTCCACCGTCCCCATCTGCACAGCTGCTCCTGCTGCCCGATTGGCTTACATATGTGTGTGCTGATTGGACAGAAAAGGGAATCTGAAATCCTGTGATCAGGTGTAGAATAGAGTTCAGAGGCATAACATCTCTATCAGGAGCATGCATTGTAGTCTGACGTGCCCTGAGCTGTGATTGGCTGCATTACCCACGGGGAGGGAATCTGCAAATAAGAAACAGGGATTTCTCCTCCTTCCACTGTTGCTATGTTGTAGTTGCTAAGAGCACTGAGTAAGGATGGATGTGTGGATTCTTTGTAGTTTTTTGTTTTTTTTCATGATTTATGATGTACGCATAAATGCTGTGTTTAGTGGTATTTACATTAAAGAAAACTGTTAAGCTGTTAAATTGTTGTTAAATTCTTTCAGATTGTGAAACTCAGGTATGAGGAGAGTTATGTGAAGTTGAGGGTTAAACAGCATGTCATCTTCACTGTATATGATTACATACTCCATCTGACTTTGTTACTGACTCCAGTAAAGTATGACACGCCTCTACAAAATGAATCTAAGCAGAAAAATAAAGGTTGCAATATGCTTGAGAATGAGAAGGCCAATTTGTGACTGACTGATAATGCTGCTGGCACCAGACTCAGAAATAGATCCTGCTTTTATATCTTTCTTCTTTCGTAAATTCAATTTGTGCAGCAAGGGGTTTGTTTTCCTACCCGACCGCACATATTTTGGCAGCGTCTTCGTGAGTGTGGCATAATATCTGTATTTAAATGTTGATGTTTACATATTTAAAAGTAATGCTGCCTGATGGCCTAATGCCATGGGTTGGTTTGAGAGACCTACGGCCCGCTTTAGTCTTTAATCCTCTCAGATTAAATCATACGATCTGTATCAGACTTGGCTTGGCAGGTCTAGATTAAACAAACGCAAACTGCAAAGTGCCCTGCAAACATCGTGCTGTGAAAGCGATGCATTAAATGCACAAACTCGTGATTTTGCAGGATCAAACTTGTTAACCCTAAATGTGGACTGATTAAGGAATTAAAAAGTGTTTATTTATGTTTGCTGCCAGGTTTACTGTCGCTAAATCTCTTTACACTAACACAGTGCACACTGCCCAGTGACACACTTCTGTGTTACCTCTGCTCTTCAGTTTGTTATCCTACTTTCTAGTGCTGCTTTCTAACTAAATCTGTCATTCTCATGAAACAAATGTGTGTACAGTAGACAGGGTGGAAAAGCTGTTTAATGGGCATGTGTTTGCAACAAGGATGTAGATTTGGCATGGACGGAAGGGACGTGTCCCCACCAATATCCAGCGATTATTGAATTGTCCCCACCAATAATTTGAT